TAAAATTCAAGTGAAAGTATTCAAACAAGTGAAGCACAACTTCAGTTTTGGATACTTTGAGGAAATTACATTCATTTATTTACTTTTAATTTTGTTTTTCTTGGTAGTGGGGACACACCTGATGGTGCTCGGGGCTGACTCCTGTCTCTATGCTCAGGGATAGCTCCCTGTGGGGGTTGGGTGTCTGACACTGGGGATTGAAGGCGGCCAACGGTGTGCAAGTTAAGTGCTTTACTCCTGTACTATCTCTCCGGTCCATGTAGTTCTTATCTAAGATGTCCTTTATGTGCAATCTCTAAATTTTATTGGGTGTTTTTACAATTTATATTAAATGTGGTTATTGATATGAATGAGTTAACTACTATACATTTTCCTCATATTATTTTGGTGTTGTATATCTCATTTCCTACTTTTTTTTGTAGATTTAGCCTACTAACTTAATTTTCTTCATAATTGGCTTACTAGCTATAATTGTCTCCTCTCTTCATTTTATTGTGCTTTTAATAGTGTCTGCTTTGGGACTTATAAGATGCCTCTTTAACCAATTAACCATACCAGCTTTTCACACATTTTAACAGTCTTTACCAATTCTGACTTACTGTAAGAACCTTATTAAAGCATCTCCCCACGTCCATCCTTTATGCAATTACTGTCATCAGCCTTTCTACCGTTTCTACAGAAATTTCACACACCCCAGTACATGCAGCTCATTTCTGCACTAAATCACTGGTGATATTTTAGAGATTTCAGGACCAGGAAGAACTGTATCTTTTATCCAGCCACATCTGCAGATTTGAGTTGTTCTGTTTATTTATAACTTCCCACCTCTGAAGCTTTCTCTCTACCTGTAGAATCTCCTTTAATGTTCGGAGAGGGTATGGCTGGTGATGAATTCCTTCAGCATTTTTAGTCTAAAAAGTATTGATTTTAGAATATATTTTCACCAGGAGGAGGATTTTTAGTTGACAGTTACTCTCTGTTCCATTGTTTTCTAGCTGTGAGTCCCTCATGAAAACGTTAATCATTCACCCGTGGTTTTGTCCAAAGCTAAGATGTATTTCTTGCTGCTCCAGCTTCTTTTTAAACCTTCATTTTTATTACTGGTCTTTGGTAATTTTATTTGGCTATGTCTTATACAGTTGTTTATGATTTTATAGTTGGGGTGTGTAAATTCTTGTAGCTGTTAAACCTTATTTATCAAGTAGTTTATTAAATTATCAAGCTTATTTAACAAATAAAGCAAGCCATCTCTCATTATGTCTTCATTATTTACTGTTCAGGGTGCATTCTTTCTCTTCTCTTGGTTTCATGTATTTTTACTGCTTGGTATTTTGCCATTGTTCAACGATGCTTTTAACTATCATTTTCTCTCTGTTTCATTTTTGAGAGATTTACGGATATTTCTTATTCAAGTTCACTAATATAGTATTTTGGATTTCAAATCTACTCTTAGTCACACCCAGGGCATATTAATTTTAGTGGTTAAATGTCCACCTTCAGAAGTGTTACTTACATTTTAAAAAAACATGTTAGGGTTAGGGTTCTCCTTTCCTTGGAAATGCTTCTCCTGCAACTCTAGCACGTCTATAGTAGCTGCGTCTCCTCTTTGCTCTGTGGCTGTCCTCATCACACATCTTACCTTTCTGTTCCTGCGTATGCCTCACTTAATCACGTAAATCACTTAACTTCCCGTTAGTCGTCGATTTGCTCGAGTGGGCGCCAGTAACGTCTCCATTTGTCCCTGTCGCGTGCTAGTGTAGCCCAATGGCATCTGTTCGCTCCGGGAACATGAAGGGCCTCAAACCGATCGTTCATGATCTTGACGAAGAAGTCTGACCATCTGGTAGGTGGGCGGCCACGCGGTCTTTTGACATCCCGTGGAATCCAGTCAGTAACAGCTCTGGTCCAACGGTCATCTTTAAATCTCATTATGTGACCAGCCCATCTGATTTTCGACACCTTGGCAAATGAGACAGCGTCCCTGATCCTTGATCATCGATGGATGTCAGAACTCCAGATTCTTTCTCTCATTTGAGTGAAACGTGATATTCCAAGCATAGCTCTTTCTATTCTTCTTTGGGAGACCTGAATAGCGTTCTCATCTTGTTTGCGTAGGGCCCAGGTCTCTGAGGCATATGTTAATGCAGGAAGAACAGTGGATTCAAAGAGATGTGCCCGGAGCCGGAGGTTCTTCGTCCTCTTAGCTATTTCTTCGACGTTCTTGAAGGCGTTCCAAGCCGCTCTCTTCCTCCTGCGCAGCTCTGGTGCCAGGTCATTTGTCATGTTGACCTCTCGACCTAGGTACACATAGCTGTTGCATTCGGAGATGGTCATTCCATTGAGAGCGAATGGGGCGTCAGGAACAAGGCTGTTTCTCATAAACATTGTCTTCGTAAGATTCAGCTGTAGTCCTACCTTTCCACACTCACGGTCAAAGTCGGCCAGCATTTGTGCCTCTTGGCTGATGTTTGGTGTTATTAAAACAATGTCATCAGCAAAGCGGAGGTGGTGTAGTTGCCAACCATCTATCTTCACTCCCATTCCTTCCCATTCCAGTCGTCGCATGATGTTCTCGAGGGTGGCACTGAAGAGTTTCGGTGAAATGGTATCACCCTGCTGCACCCCTCTCTTGACATCAACGATCACTTCTTTGTAGAATGGTGAGATCCTGGTAGTGAATCCGCAATACAGGTCACGGAGGATCCTGATGTATTGGGCTTGAATGCCCTGATTGGCTAGGGCTTCAATGACCGCTTCGGTCTCAACAGAATCAAAGGCCTTCTTTAAATCAATGAATGTTAAACAGAGCGGCATCTTGAACTCCCGAGAAACCTCAATGAGCTTGGTTATTGTGTGGATATGATTGATGGTGCTGAATCCTTTGCGGAACCCGGCTTGCTCGCATGGTTGTCCTTCATCTAGTGTTCTGCCAATCCTATTTAGGATGACTCGAGTGAACAACTTGTAGATGACAGACAATAGGCAGATCGGGCGATAGTTGCCAATGTCATGGATGTCTCCCTTCTTGAACAGTAGTACGGTCCTGCTGGTTTTCCATTGGGACGGAAACTTGCATTCAGATAGGTAGCGAGCGAAGAGCCGAGCCAGTGTATTGATGAGTACTGACGGCAGGTTCTTCAGGTGTTCAGGTCTGACCTTGTCTGGGCCGGGTGCTGTTTGTTTCTTTACCGACTAAATGGCGTGTCGGATTTCGGAAGGGAGAACGTTGGGAACGACATATCCATCCTGTGGAATTTGGTATGTCGGCAAGTGGACATGGCTATCGAAGAGATTTGAGTAGAAGTCATGGATAATCTTCTCCATTGCCGTTCTGGAGGATGTGATGGATCCATCAGGACGTCGGAGGGCAGTCATCTTGGTCTTAGAGTTGGCGAAGGACAGGCGGGCGTTACGAATACTTTTCCCGGCTTCTGCCGCATCTACCAGTACTTCTGCTCTTCTCTCTTTGAGGTCTTCCTTGATCGCATCTCTGCACTGCTTTGTGAGCTCGGACGTTAGCTTGCGGTTGCCTGAGGCATGCGCCAAACCACGCTGGCAAATTAGTTCAAGAGTTTTCAAAGATAGGCGATTTTTTGTGGCTATCTCTCTCTTGGCATTCCTCGCACATTCATGGAGGTGCTGAACCAGTCGATCGTATTCCTCGTCAATGTTGTCAACAATGGCATCTTCCCATGTTGCCGCAATAGTACCAAAGAGTTCCCAGTTGGTGGTCATTCTGGGAGTTCTCTTTTTGAACTTTGCAGCCCTTTCTCCCCGCTCTGTGAAGTAGAATTTTGCACGAAGGAGACGGTGGTCCGATCCCGTTCGAAATTTTGGGACAACAGCGACATCAGTCATGCAAAACCGTCGATTGAATATGATGTGGTCTATTTCGTTGTGGAATCGTCCACCGGGAGACTCCCATGTCCATCGTTTAGATTCTGCCTTCTGGAACTGTGAGTTACCATGAATGGTCTTGGTCGACATGATGAACTCAGACAGTCTCTCACCCTGTTCGTTTCATTCTAGGCCATGGGTCCCGATGTGAAGTTCTTCAGCTGATCTTCTCGGTCCTATCTTGGCATTAAAATCACCCACAATGATCTTGTAGAAGGTGTGGTCTTCTTTATAGAACTTCTCTAGCTCCATGTAGAACTTCTCAATTTCTCTTTCATCATAATGAGATGTTGGTGCGTAGACGAGGAAGATAGAAACTGCAGGCAGTGAGCCACATCTATTCAAATGTAAACGTACGATTTGAGTTGTTCAGCATTCGAACGAATCAATGCTCATGGCCAAGTTTGTGTTGACAAGGACACCGACGCCTCTGACACCTCTTTTATCGCATGTTCCTAGGAACAATTCTTCTCCAGTGTCGAAAACAGCATGGTGAGATTCGTGCCTTCTTGTCTCGGTCAGACCAATGATGTCGTACTTGATCATTCGCGCTTGTACCATCAGGTCCTCGATGGATGCATCTGATGCTAGCGTACGTGCATTGAAAGTACAGACGATCATTTTTGTCTTCCTTCGTTGTGGCAGCCTAGGTCGGCCTTGAGATTTTGTCGGCCTCTCCTTTCTCATCCTTCTCAGTGCTGCCATGTCGGTGAAGCCTTCAGGGTCAGGTGAATGAGACCAGTTGTAGTTACTGGTATGCCTCATACTGGTTTATTAGGAGACCACGTGGCAGCTGCTGTGGCCGGGTATGCCTCTCTAATACCCCTTCCACACTGTTGGGCTTTGTTCAGGATTTAGATGGACTTACACAGAGCCAGTCTCAAGGCTTGCTTCTGAGCCTTCCCATTGCTTCAGGCACCCTGAGCCCTAGCTGGTTTGCTCACTGCTCTGTTCAGACAACCGCTGCCAAACACTCCTGCCCATCTGTGTGCTTCAGGGGCGGCTCTTGGCTCTGTCTGCCGGGGGAGCCTTCTGCGGATCCTCGTGCATCCCAGGATCTCTCCTGCCTACACCCTTTCCTGGTTTTCCTTAAGGAGAATGAGGTTCTTACTTTGGTAGCACATATACTAAAATTGGAAAGATACAGAGAAGTAATCTTGGCCCCTGCGCAAGGATGACACACAAATTTGTAAAGTATTCCATGTTTTTACACCTAAGGATAGCAGATACATGGGACAGGAAGATTGCTCCATAGATGGAGGCCTGCCTCATGAGCAAAGGGGAGAAGACAGCTGGAATAGAGAAGGGATCACTAAGAAAATGATTGCTTGAGGAATCATTTGGAATGGAAGATGTGTGTGGAAAGTAAGTAAAGGACCAAACATGATAACCTCTCAGTGTCTGTATTGCAAACCACAATTCCCAAAAGTAGAGAGAGAGTATGGGGAATATCATCTGCCATAGAGGCAGGGGGAGGGTGAGAAAAGGGGCATATACCGGGGATATTGGTGGGGGGGATGTGTACTGGTGGAGGGATGGGTATTTGATCATTGTATGATTGTAACCCAAACATGAAAGCTTGTAACCATCTCATCGTGATTCAATAAAATTAAAAAAAGGAGAATGAGTTCTGCTTCTGTTTCCTACTGAATACTGAAAACTCAAAGGGTCCTCTGCAGATCTCCAAACTACACTGTATGTCAGCCTGCCTCCACAGTGATGTTCTTCCCATAAATTCTGACAATCCAACCTTGAATTTCCACCCCTTCCTTTACCTCCATGAGAACCATGGAGGGCTTGACTGGCTTTGGCCCATCCTGGGCAAGTCTTCTGGCCTCAACTGGGAGCTTACCTAGGGCTCTCTCTACCCATGCGCTCTTCTGCTTTTGACAATCATGGCTATGCATTGCCTTTCTCCCCATCTTGTGAATTCCAAGCTATTTTATAAATTCCACACAATTGATCATTTGTGACAGTGAAAAAGCCATTCCCCTCACAGCTCATGAAAGAGATCCCTGGTTGTGTATCTTGATCTGGCGTAGATTGTAAACCCAAGTTCAGTGGCGTTCTTGCATGCACCAATATGCACGTGTAGTTTTAGAGAATTTATCATTTCAAAGTACTTGACAAAATTTAGAATGTCATTTATGTTTTAATAGACTCACATTTTAGGGCTGGAGCAATAGCACAGCAGGTAAGGTGTTTACCTTGAATGCGGCTGACCCGGTCAGCCCAGGTTCAATTCCTCCACCCTTCTCAGAGAGCCTAGCAGGCTACAGAGCGTATCTCACCTGCATGGCAGAGCCTGGAAAGCTTCCCATGGTGTGTTCGGTATGCCAAACACAGTAACAACAAGTCTCACAATGTTACTGGGCTCACTCGAGCAAATTGATGAACAACAGGAGGATAGTGCAGTGCTATAGACTTGCATCTTAGGGTATTTTAGATTCATTTGCAGTGTTGTTTTGCAGATATTTTACCTGTCCACACAGGCGTAAGCTGATGAGCCATTGTTAGGATGTCTGAGGCTGCAAGATGACCATTACCCCACAATATCCTAGAGGGGGGATTTGAGTTCATTCTTGGTGCTGTGGGTTCTGGGTGCTAAAACACAAATGTCCACAATGGTAAGCAGAGGAGCTTCACTGCTCTCAAGGCCTGTGTTCGTCTGTCCGTCCTTCCCTCCCACCAAAGCCACAGCCAAGCCCCCACCCCCGAAGCTCCCATTTGCACTGTTTCCTCCCATTTGCCTTTGCCAGTATGGCATCGGGCTGGACGCAGGGGCACGGGGTGTGTTCAGACCATAGCCCTCCATCCTTTTAGGGCTTGGCCATCTTCCCTTTCAGTGCTGAATGCCATTCGTTTGTCTGAATATGGCATCGTTGAAGTCATTTTTGTTTTTTGGTGTTTTGGGCCACACCTGGTGATGCACAGGGGTTACTCCTGGCTCTGCACTCAGGAATCACTCCTGGCAGTGCTGGAGGACCATGTAGGATGCCGGGAATCGAACCCAGGTCGACCACGTGCAAAGCAAATGTCCTACCCGCTGTGCTATTGCTCCAGCCCCCATCGTTGAAGTCTTGACTCACTTTCTCAAGGACAGTTTTACTGCTTTCGATTTTTAGAGAACAAGAAAGAGCCTGGCCCAGAGCCTTGACGCTTTGCTGGTTCCCAGGCCGGCTCCATGCTTGGCCATTCTCTCGGCTTTCTCCCAAGGTGGCCTGGTGCTGCTCAAAGCAGTCTGCACCTTTCTGTGGCTTCCTATTATGTGTTTGAAGTACTAGAGCCGGAGTGTAATTCCCAGCCTCCACCTTGGGCTCGCTGCTCGTTCCTACTCTGTCTCAAGCACCACTCACTTTGTGCTTTTGCTGCTAAAGGGTCGGGGACTGTTTCTTAGTTGTGGCATTAGAAACGCAGGGTAGGAACAGCATGCGATTTCTCCTCCTGCCGGTACTGAGTCACTCCAAGAGATGACTTTCAAGGGGTTTTCCTGGTACCGGGAGAGAATCGCCTTCCAATGCAATCTCTCTTGCCACCTCCTTCTCCAAAGTGCCAGTCATAATTGGAGTTCCTGCTAGCAGAAAAAAAGCTAGTTTCCTTGCTGGAGATCCCTGCCAACACCAGTCCCTGTTTTGTGGTATTTTCTGAAGGAATGTGCAGGCATACCTGGGCCCAGAAAAAGGGTCATTATCTCTGCAGGCTGCCGCGTTTCCAGGGAGATGGAGGAGGAAGCCAGCATAGGGGAGGGACTGAGAGCCAGGGGCGGGCAAAACCCTGGAGACAGGATTCGATCCTGCAGTCCACAGCTGTCCTTGTGGAACTAAAACCCAGGGGGAATGAAGGCAGACGTTTGGAAAGCGAGAAAATATAAGGCGTCCTCAGCTCCTACGAGCGGGCTGCAGAAGGACAGACAGACAGGTGGGTGTGCCCAGGGAGGAATGTCTTTGCCAAGAGAATCCCTGCTAGGTGGGAAAGCCCAGAGCAAAGGTGTGAGGGCTTCGGGCATCCTGGCTTCTTCTCCAACCCCGGCAAACGTAGCCCCTGTGCCGTGCTGCTAGAAATCTCTCTGAAACATCCATCTTTGCTCTGCTGGGGAGTCCAGAGCAGGGTTTGGCAGGGGTGGGCATGCCCATCTCAGGGGAAAAGCAGTGAGAGGATGGGACCTGGTCTCAGAGATGTCACCCCATCTAAAGAAAGTTGAACCTTCCTGAGGGAGAGTCCCCGACTCAGGATGTGATTCATTTGGGAAGATAAATAGAACAGTGATCTCACAGAACTAATTACCGGAGTTCTCCCTATAATTACCATCAAATTATAAGTTGCAGTAATTTTCAGTGCTCCACCAGGGAAAATGCAGTTACCTGGAATGATAACGGCAAATTAGAGGGTAACTGATAAAAATGTGCGAGGCAGCGGAAGTGATTCGGGTCACTGCCATTGTGTGTGGATCTCAAATGCGGCCTTCCGTGTTCAGGGTCTATCACAGCCCCGTGTTCACACTTCCAGTCAGCCACCCTCCCTCTGAAGGAAGATGATGCTGGGACTTGCAGCCACAGGGCCACTGGGATTGGGGTTTCCACCTCAGAGGACAGAGGGACCAGCGTGTTTATCTCTCTGGCCAATGTGCGGGTCGATAGCCACCGGCACATGGACTGCGTCTCCACTGGAAATACTGGTTCCATCCCACTGTCGGGAAACATAAGTCTCAGGTGGGGGAGCCGCACTGAGGTCCTTCCTGCTCTGTTTGCTGCAGCCCAGAGCTGGCCGTGAGCATGTGGTCATCCAGTCACAGGACTCTGGTGAGGTGGAAGCGTCAAACCCTCACGCGACCTGTGTCCTCCCCAGTCCCGGAAGTCTGTATTTCTCCTCAGTGAGTTCCCAGGTGAGACTGGGCTGATAGCCATGTACAAGCAACTCCTCTTCCAGAGAGGCGAAGAGCTGAGGAATCAGCCACAGGTCTCCCAGCTGTGCTCAGCTGCTGTCACCAGCAGCCAGTCCCACACTTGGCCTTTGCCTCCCTCCATGAGCTGCAGACTCAAGTGCAAGCGGGTGTGAGTCACTGACACACCCTGAGCCAGAGCCAGAGAAGCTTGGAGCCCCTTTGGCCAAGACCCGGTCCACACAGCGCTTCTCTCTGTGCCCCCGAGGACATGTCCCAGCTCTCCTCAGGAAATGGGATTTGAAGATCCAGGTGCATGTAGTCTAAGAAACCAGGAAACGTTGATGCGGGGATGGAGCAAACAAAGACCCAGCTCTAGGGAACAGCACCCGGGAGCGTCTCTCAGAGACTGTGTTCCTCACCCCCTGTAGGTACTCACGATTATTTCTCACTGACCCTCCCCAGCAGGTCCAGAGGGGCCTGCAAACAGCATATATAAGTCCCCGACTCTATCCTAGGAAAGACCTATCCAAAGGTCAGAGCCTCGCGCAGATGACAGCCGGTCCTGAGCAGGCCTTGGGTTGCCTCAGTCATGCAGAGGTAGCAGGGAGTCTCAGCTGTCGTAGGAACCTTAGTCTAGAGCTGAGTTTGCTTGTTCTTATATAAGAGGTTGTTCCTCCAGCTAACACCCTTGATTTTGGGTAAAGGATGAAGCTGATTAACACAATGCAGGGGAAGGTCTCATGGTTTATAGATTATGGGTACTTGGTGACTTATGTTCTGAAAAAGATTTTACATCGCAGTCATTTTCCAGCCCAGTAAAGTGGTCCCTGATGCTTGGAAATTTGCTCTGTGGTCACCGGTTTTCACCGTGCCCAGGGCCCCATGAGGCACTGGGAATTGAGTCCAGGACTGTGCAGAATCCAGACGGGCTTATCTAAGAAAGGCACCAACATACTGCTCGGTGAGAGATGTGCTGTGTGTCCATGCCACACACCAACCCTAAGGACTGTTATTGGAGTGAATCATAGAAATGGTGGGCAGTGTGAAAATTCTGTGGAGAAGCAGAAAGATCTGTGTTCCCCCCGACCTTGATACTTCTGAACCACGCAGACTGAATGTGCTGTTTCAATTCCAGAACTACTCCTTTGGTTGGTTGGTTGGTTTTTGTTCGGGGGCCACACCCTTTGTTCCTTGGGCTTACTCCTGGCTCTGAGTTCAGGGATCACTCCTAGCAGGGCTTGGGTGTGGGGTCAGATCATTTGAAGTGCTGGGGATTGAACCCCAGTCAGCCGCGTGCAAGGCAAATGCCCTACCTCCTGTAATATCA